AAAATCAAAATTAAAAATTGAAAATTTAACTTTAAACCCAATATTTTGGATTATTAATTTTGATTATTTTGTATTATAAATTTTAATACAAAAGAATTTTGAAAATTTAATAAAAAAAAAATTTTAATCAAAAAATTTGCAACCCTAATTAAAATCTATTCGTTTTTTTAGTTGTTCTGATTTACAAAGTTTCTGCCAACATCCGTCTTTTCGAATGTTTTGTACTCTTGATTACAAAATTTAACAAGACAACTCGATTTTGAAAGCCGTTTTATGCATTACTGCATGGGTAAATATTTTCACTTTCATGTACGAGTATAATTAATATCGAAATCTATTTACATTTCAAATTTCGAATTTTTAAATATACTAAAATCTGAAAGCGCATATTTAACATTTAGGTGTTCGGATATTGAAATATTCGATTTAATTAGATACTTGAAAATCCGTATCAAACTCCCAGCCCTAGTTGCTACATCTTTCTGCACGTGTTATATATATTTCGCGATGACAATCTTTTAGATAACCTGAATATCCGTTTTACAAAAAAATTCTGATTATATGTATTTGTGGAACTAAGTGCTATCTTAGGTGTCTTCAAAAGTTTTTAGGTAGTAAAAATCTTGGTTCAACAAATTGAAGCCTTGAGTTGGACTTGTAAATTTTCAAAGATCTCTACAAACTGTTGATATACTACAATTAATTAAAATTTATAACGATTAACTAATTCATACGAATTTTTTTCTAGTTTATAGAATGATTTACATTTTGTGAGGTTAAAACTAAAAACAGTTTGAAATACCACAAGTTTTGAATTAGTTAAGATAACTAAACTGTTGTCGAAACATATTGCGCATTAAATAGAAAAGCGTGATTACTCCAAAGTGGTCAGTATCAACTTATTCCACAAAACCATTCACAGAACATACTGATGTTTCCAAAAATTTAGTCAACACTAACCCACACTAACTGGAAAAGTACTTTATTTGTCCTATTCTTATATTGGGAAGAAAGGTTAGATGAAACCTTAAGCCTCTAATTTTCTACAAAATTGTCTTAAATTGTAAACTATCCATAATAAACCACCACAATTCTCTTCATACTATTCCTCCTTCTCATTTTCAAATAGTTAAATGCATATGACATAGCATATCTAAGCATAAACTCATCAGTTAATATAAAAAGTCTACACATTATACACTCTTTACATTTAAATATCACTTTTGTCTGCATATATTTAAAAATATACAACTACTCCAAAAAAAAAGGTACTAATAATTCAGAAATATTCGCATATTTGCTACACGAGAAAAATTTTGCTAATCCACTCAAAACTTTGATACAATTTTATTAGCTAAAATAATCAAACTCTTTGCCACAATCACAGACTAAATTCTTATTTTCGATAAACTATTAATAATTTTGCAGTACAACTCTCTAGCAACTCACAAATGCAAACTCAATAATGTTTAAGACAGTTACAATTGCAATTAAAATAGTTTTAGTGAAAATATTAATAGTTTAATGAATATTTATTATAAGAAAAATTAATAGAAATACGAATAATAATTTAAAAATAATAATAAATAATATAATAGTATTGATAAAAATTTCACAATAAAAAAATATTGAAAAATACACACCATAAACGACAAGCTAAAGAAATAGTAGTTTTTTCGCTAAAACGCATTTTTTTTTAATCGATTACAATTAAAATAACAACAAACCTAACATATCGTACAAGGTCTGTAAACGAATATATGTATTATATAATTGAAACATAGTTATTAGAGAATTGTAGTTAAGTAAAAAATAAATAAATTACAACAACAGTAAACACATAACCAAATATAGTGCGTAGAGTTTTTGAAAAGTTTGGAGAAGCTTTTTTCTATGCTAATTTATTTCTAGCATGCTATTTTCTTAATCTGTTTAGCTAATTTGTAGAGTTAATTATTTTTATTTTAAACAAAATAATAAAATTTGCAAAATATATTCTGCTTTTGACAGCAACGATCAAATGTATTTCTTACTAATTATTTTATGAAGGTTGAATCGAACAAACAACTGGTATAAATAATCTTAAGATTACACGACTTTAATGAGGCGCTCATACACGCTCTCGTATTGAATATAAAAGAGGAATTTTGTTTTTGCTTTCACACGCAAATTTTTTGACAAGCGAGCAGAGCGCAAATGTAGCGAGTAAAGTAATAGCGAATCGAAGACGTATGATATCTACAATACAATGTAGGTATACACTGGCTTAGAAGCTAGTTTATACATTTTCTGGCTGTTAATCAGTATAGGACCAAAAAATAGGTGTTTTTTAAATTTGTTTTTGATTTTTTGTTAATTAACGAACTCAAGACATTGCTTACCAATAGATTGAGCTGATTGGGAGTTTAAGTCGTGAACATATGAAAAGCTATAACGAAATAAACTCAATACAAGTTAAGCACATAAATACCTATTTCAATTCTAGTACTTCAATACCTTCTCAATAATTCAAAACTAATGGTAACCATTTCAAAAACCTCTTAACATTTAAAAAGAAAAGAAAAACATTATTTTATGAAAAGAAAGAAAACAAAGAAATACTAAAATATTCAATAAACATTTTACGCTAGCGTTCCGCCGCAGTTTCGAGCGAGCTGAAAATTAGCAGTAGAAATTTATACTCTATTATACAATCAGAATATTTCGCAACATAGGGAAATTATATTTTATTTTTGCATAAATCGGCATATAAAACTTATATACTATATAAAGGGAGATATTAAGCCAAAAATGGGTGTGAAAACATAATCGAAAATTCACCATAGAAAAAAGTTATTTAAAAATATATATAAAAAGTAATTTCACTAGTTAAGAGTATTATTGATTATAAAAAAACATAAAGCAACAAAGTAAATACATTTTACAGTAGAAATTATATATAAGTGATTTAACATGTGTCGGTAAGGCGAAGTAGTTAAAATATAAGAAGAAACCGTTATACTAACATATTAAAACTGCAAATAATATAAACAAATGAACAAAACAAAATAAACATTAAAAAAAATTTGCACGACAAATAGTTTCAGTTAAGAGAAAATTTTGAAAATTATTATAAAAATTTCTAATAGCAAAATAATAAGGTTTTATATATACCGCAAACAATTTTAAGTTAATTAAAAAATTAGGCTTAAGATTTTTTTCGTCATTTTGAGCAGTATTTTATTTAATCTATTGCAATTAAAAATTATTAAGTAGTTTAAAATTTTAATTTGTTAACTGTCTCAAAAAATATTGCACCAAAGATTTTGTGATGACGCATTCTCTTTAAAATATAAACGGGAATGCATAAAAATTCCAGAAAATATGTTTTTTATATAATTCTGTGGCTTTAATATGTTTGTGCACATAAAATATATATACAAGATATGAACAGTCGCAGTGAACATATTTATACGAAAAAAGCAAAAAAAAAAAAAATTGTTAAGAGAATGTTTTCTCCCCTAACCCTTAAAAAATATAATCAATGCAATTTATTTCAATTCAATTCAATATAATATTATTAAATAATAAAAAATAATTAAATAAATAAATTTACTATATATTTGAGTTGTTAATTTTTTGTAACTATTATATACTATAAGCAAAGAAAACAAAAATGTATGCAATCTCCGCGCGAGCGTAAAAAATATTTTTCTTTCTCTCACTGGATTGTTAAGTGGCAAGAGAGAGATCACCGTAGACTGTAGAGAATCCCTGTATTAAAACCTTCCGAAAATAATCTAGTCTATATACAAGTAGGAATCGAAGTGGTTTGAATCTGTATCTGGTCAAGAATAGTGAACATTTCTCTCTAAAATCGTAGTGTAAATAATTTATTTTATTTAAAGTGCCTGGACTAGTTGTGATTTAACACCATTAGAATACTTCTTGTGGGGTTATTTGAAGTCATTGGTCTTTAGCAATAAATCAGGCTCACTTCAACTTTTAGAAGTCAATATTGAACGGGCTATTCATGACATACGACTGGATTTAGTTTAAAAACTACTTGAAAATTGGGCTCCTTCTCGAATAATATATTTTTTATCATGGGTGAGTGCTATACCATCTGATCAAATTTAACTAGGACTGGTCCACTTAAATTGTATGCGCAAACCGAATTGATACAGATTTTTTCCCTAATTGTCTATGGTAATAGTGTGTGTTTGGCAGCTGTTTGTGACGTGAAAAGTTTCTCTGGCGATTTATATCATAAAAAAATTTTAAAAAAGAGTTTGCTTGAAATTTTGTGTTTTTAATAAAATCACGGCAACGGCATCGTTAAAAATATTGCAGAAGTATTTTAGGGAGTCTACTTTATCCCAAATACAAGTACTTCAGTGGTGAAAAGTCAACGAAAACTTGCTTCAAAGAGCTGTTGAGTCTGTTAATGACGATAACATCGAACAAATTCTAGAAACAGTGCTTTAAAGTCGTCGTGTTTGTATCAGAGTGATAGCAGAGGTTCACAAAATCTCTTATGAATCGACTCAACACGTTTTGGTTATTATTCTGGGTATGAAGCGTGTCAATGCTACACATGTACCATAAGACCTGAATTTTTCGTAAAGAACGACGTCAAGTAGATGGCGCAAAAGAGACGCTTGATAACTTAGCTGAGGATCCTACATTCATCAAACGCATCATTACTGGTGACTAAACCTGGGTTTATGAATATGACGTCGAAACTGTCCAACAACACAACGAATGGCGCACCAAAAATGAGCTAAAACCAAAAGAACCTAAATTCGTTGAAGGCAGCGAATGCCATCGCAGCCGAGGCTTATAACAAGTGCATGAAAAATTGGATTAAACGTTGAAATGATTGTATTGGCTAAGGAGCCTATTTGGAAGGCAATAATAAAGATTTGTATTAGTGTCAGTCCGAGTGAAATTTGATCAGATGGTATACCATATTGTACTAGTCTCATGGCCCCAGCTTAAACAATAGAAAACAGGTAGTCTTAATATGTTGTGTCACTTAAATAAAAATAAATTAATAATTGTATTGAAATTTGGAGAGAGCAGACTATTAATCTTCACTTTGGATAAGGTGAGCAAGAGCGGCAATTTTTTTCTTTTTATTGACACTGTGAGGACGGATTTGTAATTGAGGGAAACGGATTGACATTTTACGTTATTTTGTTCATATTTGTATGGTATGCGTTTCAAAGACCAAATGCAAGAGGCATTGGTTTCTCTAGTGGAAGGCATCAAGCAATTAGCACTATCATCACAAAAAGTAACAGCTGACACGACGTTGTAGACTTGGGCAAAATCAAAATCGTGCTTTTAGAGCTAAGAGGAAGAAGATAGAGGAGATAACTCAATTCCTTGCCTCCGTCACGCTCTAGATCCAGCACAATATCATTGAAACACCAGCTTGTATTATATTCTCTCTGAATTCATAATGTCTCTTCCTCTGACTTCCCATATGTATATAATATTATATATATGTATCTATGTTCTTTTTAAAGCATATATGCACTTGTATGTATGTAATGAGGCTCTAGCAAGTGCGTACAACCACACACTCTGTCTGCGTTCATGTCAACTTTGCAGAATGCTGCTGATAAGTGAGTATTGTTTTTTTTTCGATTGCTCTTTCTTTGCTTTCGATCTTGGCTTCCAATTAAATTATTCGAATCATCTATGGAACTCCAGCGATCCGGTCGCATCATCTGTTTCGTGTGTATGTTTCGGGAGGGTTACATACATACATATTTTGCTATTTTCCTAATCATTACTGGCACATCCGAACGCACACATACACATATATACATACATACTTATTGGATCTTTTCCATTGCGACGGCCGAGATCCATTGATGCTGCCGCGTCTGTTACGGCAATGACTGTTATGTTTGCGTCCGCATGGTTTGCGATAACTTTGTTGCGGCCCCGAAAAGCCGACAATGGAGTGATACACTATATGTATGTATGTGTGTTTGTGTGCTGATGTCCCCGCGCTTCGTTGACCTCTGTTAAGCGAGTGTTTGCGTTTTGTAGCTTATTCTTTAATGTTGTCTTTTGTTTTTGTTTTTGTAATCTGCAAATTTTTTGTTGTGGCTTTTACTTAAATTGCGCAAATAGCTCCCCTTCTTGGTTTCTGTGCTGAAATTCTCTGAATTGCTGAGCGTTTTCATTTCGAAATTCCGCTACTCTCTTTCTTTTATGCTCCAAGTGTAAGACTATAGGTATTCACATATATACATATATATGATTGTGTAGATGTATTTGTAAATTGAGGGGATCTTAAACTGGGATTGCGATCGGATTGAATTGTTCTGTTTGTTTTGGAATTCTGCGCATTTCGGCTTGAGAGGGAAGCTCTCAAGCGAATACAAGAAAATATCTTAAATAATTTAGTTAAGATTGTGTTTTAAGTGTACTCGTACATACATTTGTATATCACTATGTAAGAGTATATATATATACACATATATATATTATATGTATATACGATTGCAAAGTTTTGATTACACTAGGGTAATTCTAGATATTTTTTAGGGTTTGGATCAATTACCAATATTTTGATAGTAATGTATATTATATGTGCAGAATTTAAGGCTAGATAGATATGTATGTATATTAAACCTTATGAGGGCCGAATTTTCTGAACAAGCTGTGGTTTGTAAGTTCAAAGAATGTAGTATTAGTTTGCAGGTCTAAAAGTGAATATCTACGGATACTTGTGGTCAAAATTCAAGCTCGAACTGTTCGTTAATAGACTGGGAATTTCAGAGCTGCCTCTTTTTAGTTAAAACGAAAAATGTTTGAAGCGAAAACTCAATCAAGTGTTACGGTTTGGCGTTTATACAATTTATAACAATCGCCGATCCAACAGATGTTCCGATACATTCTTAAAACCCCGCCTTTAACCAACAGAATGCTGATGTCTATACAGAAAGGTTTATATCGTCTTCTGATCCAAAATATTATTGGCAAGTACGCCTTTGCTAGATTTTAGGACGTGTTTGTCTTTCTATTGGCTGTGCGTCCCAATGTTGTCTGACTAATTAAGGCTCCGAAGTCCGATGTTACTTTTTAAGATAAGCTTTTTCTTTCCCTTCTTCTAGCGAACCCTTTTGTATCCGACAAATAGAGCGCCCTACTAGTTTGAAGTGATACTTCAAGAGCATCCATTGCATAAAATTACTGGCTGAGGAGCGAAAGCCACTTTTCTTTCCTCTTCTCTGCGACCGCCAAAGTCCAAAGCGATCAGGAAGTCATTAATTTTCTTACAGGGTTATTATGAATGAGTATTTAAAATACCACGCATGTACTTACATTTATCTATATTTAAGTGTGAGGGGTGCCCTTTGCCCTTCAGAAAGTTCGCACGATCACCAATATGCTAGTGTTTGTGCCTTGTTTGCGTTTTTTTCAATTTCAGTTGGGGACCATGCGTGACTGTGGCTCGGCACTTGAAGTCCCGCACTCTCCGCGGGCAAACAATTGCTTATATAGGATCAGACGTACAAATGTATATGCGGGCACCACTTTTCCATCCAACTAGTGGCCCCTCGAAATGCCAAAGCGACTGTGTTGCGCTTTATTTCGCTGGTTGTTGTGGCTGTTGTTGGTGGTGGATTTCAATGAGACTAGTTTTTGTGTTGTTTGCACTATTTTGAAGAATCAACAATAAAAACACAAACTCTGAAATAAAAATAAATGAAAAGTCAATGCAAAAATATAGAAGAAAAAGCAGAGAAATATGACAGCACCATGTGTTGTTGCACCGTCGAACTGGTTCGCCTTTTAGTACCCGTTGCACGTTCTAGTCTCAGCCAACGAGTGTCGAATATTGTTGTCGATGCGTCGCACCGCATGTGTTGATTTAACCATAGATGGCGACAACAGCTAGTCAAACGCACAGACTACACCGCACCGCACCGCTCCTCACCGGTGGCACAGCAATTCCATTCATTGGCCAAGACGACGTTCGTTGCCTTCACTAGACCATCGCTCGCTCACACTTACCCGCTACGCGCTGGCAGACTGGGTCCGATTCGATTGAATTGCATGCAACACTGTTGCCACTACCATCGCGCTTGCGACTGCGACTGCAACATGTCGATTCTTGCCGTTTGCATGCGGTTGCTGCATCAGCGCCACATCGCTGGGATTCCTTTGTGCCATTCCACAGATGCCACAACAGCCAACCAGCTAACAAGCGAGCAAGTAAACGAATTTTTTCTGCGCGTACTTTGCTGAAATGCTGAAAGAAGGCGAACTTGCCACATACAATACACACGCACACTCATCGCTGCCATTGGCGATATGCGTGTGTGTGTTTTGCCGCATTTGTGCACGACAACGTGAAATACCAAACGGTGAATGCAGCGATATGAGCGCTTGCTTGTTGTTTAGCTGTATCCGGGAAGCAGAGGCAGCGGCGCGTATCTGCGAAATTCTTTGCCGCGCACGAAAAGCTTGTCGCTGTTGCAGTCGGCGGTGAGAATGTGAGCCAAGAACA